ATTTCAGCCTGTGCCAAACACCTGCAGCACTAGAATGGGATATCAAAACAAAACTCCACCCAATGGCAGAGAGCCATCCCTTAACAACCAGTCACTGATTTCGCATCACCATAAAAATGTATTTAACATTTCTACAGAAACAGTATTCTTCCTGTCCCAAAAGGCCATTCCACTTTCTTTCACAGTTCTTCCGGCTAAGATAAATATGCCACAGAAAACAAAACAGCAAAAAAAGAACTAAACTATTTGATGAGTGGAAAAATTATCTGTTGTTTTCATCTGTTTATTTGTGAAAGTCTGTGAAGTTGGTAGGTTTTATTAACCTCCAGACTATCTCAGGCTGTTGAGGTTCCGCCATTTTGAATGCATCCAGGAAGCGTATGCTGCCACATCCTTGAAATGTGTACAGCGTATATAAAGAACACAAAAAGCATACGTAACACAAACATAAGGTTGAAGAGAAACATTAGTTCCATTTACTTATGTGCATGCATGAAATGCACCAGGCATAGAATAAATGAAGTCAGAATAGATTTTCTGCTACAGGGTTCAGTAGCTCACAAGTGGACATTGGAAAAGCAATTTGCACTGGACCGTCACTCACATGGAATCCATATTTGAATATCAGTCAGACGTTACCTGTAAGTGTCTTTGGTGTCTCTAATAGCCCCATTCTATAATTGTAAAGTGCTGTGGAATGTGCTAGTTCGATATAAATCATGGTAATTATAATGATAATAACAAGACATACTATGTGACCTGAAGTATGTAGACACCAATTCATATATTGCAACCACAACCACTGCTGACAGATGTATAAAACCAAGCTGTTACATGCTGTTCATAGCTAATTCCAGCAATGGATGAACTGTACTGCTTACATCACGGCATAACATCACACAGTCACAGAATACCAACAATCACATCTGTTCATTAAATATCTGCTCAAATAAGGTTGCTCTGGTCAACTATTATTTGCTATGTGAGATTGAACCAGGGAAAAGTCAGGTAGCTCCCAATGTGAACATGAGCTCGGAGAGCATGCACTGTTCACAGACACATGACAGATCACAGAACCTCTGCTGTAGTCTATGGTTATCCATGATTGCTTTCCACCTTCAGAAACGCATTTCAATTGACCAATGGGAGCATTTGCCAGAGTGTAAGCTCTTGGTTAAGGTCTTGTGTCCCTTTCATATTATTATGTGTTCAGCAATATGTTACACTATATAATAACAATTATATAACAAATATATATACACTATTATATAACAAATATATAACTAAATCTACTAATAAATGTACAATTTAACACATACAAAGGTTGATAAAAATACAAAATATTTTACTGATAAAATAGGTTACTCCGATGTCCATGAGCACTTCTACTTTTAGAAGTGGTCATTAAGGAAGGTATCTGTATGTGCATTGTTTCTGCTTGAAACACTGCACATATAGAAATATTTCTACTTGTGTCCTGGTTGCTGTGCAAAAACTATGTAGGGCATCAATGGCAACAGCCATACTGAGCATCTACAAAGGGATGTTTTGGTCTCCCCTACAAATTCCTTCCTCCCTTGGTGTTTTTGCTCCCAGTCCTCCCCGCTTCTATACATTCAGTTTCATTACATTTTTTTCCCTTGTCCCTTCCTCTGTCCACCCCTCTTGTCATGCCTGGCTCATAAGTACCCACAGCCTGGAGATCGGTCCAATCAAGTGCTTGTCTTTAAGGTAAGTTGAATCCATTTTATTAAACAATTTTAATTAATGAACATATAAAATTTGTTGGAGTAACCATTTAAGGACCAAGGCTCTTTTGAGATACAGTAAGTTAGTGACTAGGGCCTTTTTGGTTCTGTTACCTTGTGTTCATTTTACCACCCTTTCTGTTTAGGTACACCCATACATATTCTATATCATTTTAAAGGAAAAATAAAGATTTATCTTGTTACTCTATATACATAACCAGGGGAGGACTGGAAGCCTCATGCCTGGGGGCAAATCCAGTCAAGTGGCCCATTGCACCAAGAGGAGAGTAAAAACACATTTCCCATGTGATTGAAAGGAAGGGCAGTCACCTAAACAGACAACCTCACTGACAGGCACACACACGCTTGCTGATTTAACACACACTAACAAACACACACTCACTGACAGACAGACACACTGTTACAGGCATACTGACTCACACAGACAGACATACTGACACACACACATACACAGGCATACTGGCTGACACACACAGAAAAACTGGCACACATACAGACATACTGACACACAGACAGACAGACATACTAGCACACACACACACACAGACATACTGACACACACATAAACAGACATACTGACACACAGCTAGACATACTGACACACACACACACACACAGACATACTGACACACAGACATACTGACACACATAGACATACCCATATACACACACACACACACACAGACACACACAAACTTTAAACTTTTAAAGTCAGTAAACAGGGGTTGAGTAAGGTGACAGTGCTGTAGTAGGGGGCTAGAGGCTGTAGTGGGAGGACGGGGCTGTAGTGGAGGGTATGAGCTGTAATTGGGGGGTTAGGGAATGTAGTGGGGGGGATAGGGGCTGAAGTAGGTTGATGGCTACAATTTGGGAAAGGAGCTGTGGTGTGGGTGTATGGGTTGCAATTGGGGAGAGGAGCTGCAGTGGGGGTGTTATGGATGCTGTGGTGGGGAGGGCATGGGGCTGAGAAAGGGGGACAGGAGCTGAGAGGGAGGGACAGGAGCTGAGAGGGGGGGACAGGAGCTGGGAACAGGAGCTGAGAGGGGAGGCAGGAGCTGAGAGGGGGGACAGGAGCTGATAGGGGTGAG